ACCCAACATCAGAGATTTAAAGACATGCAGATAGATCAATGGACTAGAATTGAAAGCCCAGAAATGAACCCAAACACCTATGGTCACTTGATCTTTCACAAAGGACAGCATTTTCAGCAAATGGTGTAGGATAAGCTGGTGGTCAGCATATAGAAGAATGCAAATCAATTTATTTTTATCTTCTTGTACAAAGCTCGAGTTTAAGTGGATCAGGAACCTCCACATAAAACGAGATACACTGAATCTGATAGAAAAAAATAGTAGAGAAAAGCCTTGAACACACAGGCACATGGGAAAACTTCCTGAACAGAACACCAATGGCTGATGCTCTAAGATCAAACATTGAGAAATAAGACCTCATAAAATTGCAAAGCTTCAGTAAGACAAAGGACACTGTCAGTAGGACAGAGCGGCAACCACCAGATTGGGAAAAGATCTTTACCAATCCTACATCTGATAAAGGGCTAATATCCCATATATATAAAGACCTCATGAAGCTAAACTCCAGTGAACCAAATAGCCCCATCAAAACATGGGATACAGAGCTAAACAGAATTCTGAACTGAGGAATGTTGAATGGCTGAGAGGCATGTAAAGAAATGTTTAACACCTTTAGCTATCAGGGAAATGCGAATCAAATTGACCCTGAGATTGCATCCTACATCAGTCAGAATCAGTAAGATCAAAAACTCACAGGACAGCAGATGTTAGCAAGGATGTGAAGAAAGGGGAAAGCGTCTCCCTTGTTGGTGGGATTGCAAGCTGGTATAACCACTCTGGAAAACAGTCTGGCAGTTCTTCGGAAAATTGGACCTGAGGACACCAGCTGTACCACTCTTGGGCATATTCCCAAAGAATGCTCCAACATACAACAAGGAAACATGCTACACTATGTTCATAGCACCCTTATTTATTATAGCTAGAAGATGGAAACAACCTAGATGTTTTTCAACAGAGGAATGGCTACAAAAAGTGTGATACATTTACACAATAAGGTACTACTTTGCTATTAAAAATAATGACTTCATTAAATTCTTAGGCAAGTGGATAAAACTAGAAAATATTATCCTGAATGAGGTAACCAGTCACAAAAGAATACACATGTTACACACTTTTTGAAAAGTGAATATTAGCCCAAAAGCTCAGAATACCAACGATACAATTCACATACCACATGATGCTCAAGGAAATGTAAGACCAAAGTGTGGGTACCTTGGTCCTTTTTAGAAGGGGGAACAAAATACTCACAGGAGCAAATATGGAATAAAATGAAGGAAAGGTCATCCAGAGACTGCCCCACCTGGGGATCCATCCCATATACAGACACCAAATGCTCACACTATTGTGGATTTCTGTTTGCTTTCTACTCAAAAATGAAATGTAGTAGATTTGGGTAAATGGGAAAGTGAGGAGGACTTTGAAGGATTTGTGGGAGGCAAAACCATAATCAGAATATGTTGACTAAAATAATAAATTTTCAATATAAAATAATAACATTAAATGCCAAAAGCTTCAATTCTCTAATTAGCAACCACAGACTGGCATGATGGATCAAGAAACAAAGTTCATCTATCTTTGCTTACCAAGAGACACATGTTGTTTTTAAAGATGGTACCAGCTTAAAATAAATGATAGACAAAATTACCCCAATCAAATGGGATCTGGAATGAAACAGGTGTTGCTCAATTAGTATCTGACAGGATAGAGTTCAGATTAAGTTAATCAGACAAGATGAAGAGGGATATTGTATTCTAATAAAGGGAAAAGCTAACCCAAAAGACATTACTATTTTAAACATATATTCCACAATATCTGAAGCATCTAATTTCATTAAATTGTGCTACTGTTTTTAAAGAACCAATACCATCAATCCATCAATAGTAGATGATTTTAGTAATCCACTTTTTCTAATAGAAAGTTTAACTGGACAAAAAATAGAGAAACATAATCATGTGACATACATCAAATATCCTTGACAGATGTCTACAGAATATATTACCCAGACATTAAAGAATATGCATTCTATTCAGTAGTATATGGAAGCTTTTCTAAAATAAAACATATCCTGAAACATAAAATAAATCTTTAGAAGTTTAAAAAGACCAAAATAACTCCTTGTATCCTAGGTAACCATAACACAGTCAAAAAAAAATTGACAGCAAAATTTCTCTAAGAAATACAGAAACTTATGGAGATTAAACAGCTCATTACTGAATGAGGAATGAGAGAAAGAAGATATTAAAATTCAAGTTAAAAACTTCCTGGAACTAAAGGAAATGAAAACGTAGCACAAACAACCCTCTCGACATGTTAAAACCAATTCTATTAGAGAAATATACAGCTCTACATATTTACAGCAGAAATCAGAAAGAACACAAATAACTGGCTTACTAATGCAACTCAGAAGTTCACAAAAACAAATCAAAACCTAGTCAGGGCAATAAATTATGAGAACCAGAGCAGACATCATCAACAAGAACAAAAAGGATAAAATAAAGCAAACAAACAAGCCAACAGAAAAATCAGTGAATCAAATAAATAGTATTATAAAAGGTTGAAGAAGATGAAAAGACTCATGTCCCAACTAACCAAAATACAGCAGAGAGGACCAAAAAACAGAATTAGGAATGAACATTACAACATGCAGCTAAGTAATTAATAATACTACGAGGGAATATTTGTAAAATTTGTACTTCATTAATCTACAAACGTTTAAAATATAGACTTTCTAGATTATGCCAAACCACACAATGTAAACCAAGAAGTTAACAATCTAAGCAGAACCATAAAAAATGAGGATATTGGAATAATAATGAAAAAGTCTCAGTTAAAAATGTCCAAGACCAGAATTATCACACCATTATTCTACCAAATTTTTAATCCTTCAGATTCTTCTTGAAACAACCCTTCTTAAACCATTAAAAAAAAAAAGGCAAAAGAAACAGAATGACAATCTCAACCTTCTACAAAGTCAGTGTCACTCTATTACTAAAACCAGGTAAAGATACTGCAGGCCAAATCCCTGATGAACAGAGACTAAGAAAATATTTAAGAAAACACGAGTAAACACAATGTAGAAACACATAAAGAAGACAATCAACCATAACCAAGTGTATTTTATCTTTGAAATGTATGGATGTTTCAGCGTATTTTCATCATGATAAAATCTAATCTTTCATGATAAAGGTATTAAAGAATATACAGCTAAAGGGGATATACCACAACACAATAATACACAAACACACACAAGCACACACACACATGCACACACACACATGCACACCTGCAGGCTCAAGGTTGTGTGAGTGTGTATGTATGTGTGTATTCCTACATGAAACACCAATTTAATAGGATATATAAATTAGTCAGGGATATTCACCATACCTATTCCTTTTTAACATTGTGTTTCAAGTGCTGGCTAGAGCAATAAGGCAATACAAGGAAATTGAGAAAACACAAATAAGCAAAGAAAAAGTCAAACTATCATTATTTCTTGATGACATAATGCTAAATATTAGAGATACCAAAAATTCTACCAGAAAAGAAACGATAATCCAACTCAGCAAAGTGGCAGAAAGCAAAATCAACTTGCACAATCAATTGCGTTTTTGATACACCAAAACTAAAGATACAGAAAAGGATATCATGGACAAATATACACTCACCATATGCTAAGCAAAATAAAATATATATGAATAAACTTAACTAAGGAAAAGGAAATGAAGAATTTACTCGATGAAAACTTTAAACTTCTGAAGAGAGAGAGAGAGAGAGAGAGAGAGAGAGAGACAGAGACAGAGAGAGAGACAGAGACAGAGAGAGAGACAGAGACAGAGACAGAGAATGATATTTCATGTTCATGGACTGGTAGAAGTTATATGGTGAAAATGGAAATGACCATTCTACCAAAGCTAATTATAGCCTCAATGCAATCCCAGTCAAAATGACATTGACTTTTACACAGGTAAACATATGTGCAATTTTAAATACTACCACAAAGAATTCTGAGGGGGAAATGATGCTGGAAGCATTACAATTCCTGATCTTAAGATAGGTTAGAGAGCCATAATAACAAAACAACATGGTACTGAAACAAAACAGACCTGTAGACCAATAGAACAAAATCCAAACCCAAACATGAATACATGTAATTTCAACCACTTAACATTTCCCTGGGATTCCAAAAGAGAGAGAGAGAGAGAAAGAGAGAGAGAGAGAGAGAGAGAGAGAGAGAGAGAGAGAGAGAGAGAAACCTGCATGCTGGAGAAAGGAAATCATCTTCAAGAAATAGATTAGAACAGTAAAATCAAAGTTGTACGTATCAACTTGCACAAAACCTAATTCCAAATGGATCAAAGACATACGTTTGAAGCTTGAAACCCTGAGACTGTTAAAAGAATTAGGCAGTACCGTCCATGATGTAGTTGTAGGAAAAGATTCTATTTGCCCAAGAATTAAAGGGAACAATTGAGAATTGGAACATCATAAAACTAAGCATCTTCTTCATAGCCATCAACAAGGTCAAGAAGCAGCCCAGAGATTAAGAAAATCTTTGCAAACTGTACACCTGTCAGAGGTTTAATACCCATAGCATACAAAGACAATGTTCCTTTACTATCCAGGAAGAGAATTTTCCAGATGTTCCTAATACAGAATTTATGCCAATGGTTTGCATTTTGATTTTGGGTAATAATATTGGATGTATTTCATGACAACACTAATTCATGACAGCCCGCTAGAAGAGGGCAGGAATAGTGGAGTAAGAAGGGGCGAATTGAGTCTCAGAAAGGAGTAGCTAGAATAAAAGAAATTAGAATACTTTTGTTCTTTTAGAAGCAGAGAAAGTAGTGAACAGAAATAATAAGAGTAAATTAGCAACAGTTCTTAGGATATAAGAGCAGTATGGAAGATGTAGATAGCAGTGTTGCATGCACACATAATATTTCTAGGCATTGTATATCTTTAAAATGAGACAGAACATAAGGTATAAAATTATTATCTTACTGAATATAGAAAATCTCATTGCTTGGATCATAAGGCGGGGACTCTTTGAGAATAGTGAAAAGAGGTAAAAATGCAGTGACCACCATATCTCCATCCTTGTATACACTGGTTTTTGTCTTTCCAGCACAGTAAGAGCGGTCAAAGGAGTAAACATAACTGGAGTACTGCAGAAGCAGAAACATAAAAATCAGAAGGAGCATCATAGAAATATCTGCAAAGTTTAAGTCTGCTTAGAGGTTTAATTTTCACAGATAGGAGGTATATACGTATCTGATGAATTTGTATCAATTCATGTAAATTCCAATTTTATTGCTGACTATGATGGCTACTCTTATTCCCATGGCTTCTTCAACTCAGTTTTCAAATACCCTGGGAGGAATCTGAAAAACTTTCTTTCCTGGAACTCCACCTGTGAGGTCCCACTTGCAGGCAAAAAACCCAATATGGAAAATATGTTTGAGGCTCATCATCTCCAGGCCCAGGGGCAATGATTTCATCTAGTTCCATTGACAACAGGGCTCCTGAGCTGAAATCCTCTTGGGAAGACTTGACCAAGCTGATGTCAAAATACTGACTTCTGCAGTGGATGAAAATATTGTCAGAAGGGACAGAGTATATCTCCGCTGATACTATTCTTTTCTATCAAGCACAAAACTTGGGTATAATCATCAGAAATACATAAACTGTGCATTGTTTTAAACATTTGTAATCCCAACACTGAGGATCAAGATTTGGAAAATCAGTCAGTCAAGATCATCTCTGTAGACACAGAATGCTTGAGATTTATTTGTACTAGAGACTGTCTCAAAAAGTGTTGTTATAATCCATTTATATATCCACAGAATTTATTTTGCTTAGTTAGTGTGATTATCCTTGTGTATATGAGATATCTGTCTCCAAATACTACTTAAAGAGATGAAAATGAACTAAAAATTTGCATACATATATACAAACATAGATATACATACACATATAATGTGGTGATGTACATATGCATTAGTGAATCAATTTACTAAATAATTATGTATTGAATTTAGTTTATAAGTTGTTCCATGTCCTACTTCATGTAAGGCAACAGTCATGGGGAATAATACGGCTAGGATAAAGTAAGGAATATATGGGAGTTATCTGTTCTTTGTTTTTAATTTTCTCCAAAGCTAATAAAACTATAAAATGGAGACTACTAGCTTTTTTGTTTCTACACAGAGGTCTGTATTTGTGTGTGCACATCATGTGGAGGCCAGAGGTTGAAATCAAATGTCTTGCAAGGAAGACTTTACTACTCTCTACCTTATTTTTAAAACCAGGTTTCTAAGTGAAAACAGAACTTTTTGATTTACCTAAAGTAAATGAGCAACCAGTTTCAGGCCTCTGGAAGGAAGTACTGGGAGTAGAGGTGCACCATGCCCATATTTTAATGTGGGACCTGGGCATCCAACTGAGCTTCTCATTATTTTATGGGCAATGAATCATTACTTTCACACATAGAGTCTTCAAGTTTTAAGACAAAACTTTTAGTCAGCTCTCAAGTGGAGACATGTCATTATTATTTTTGGATTGTATCTAGAATAAATACAGAATAATTTTAAGGACAGAATAATGAATTTCAAAGATTTTTTGTGCAAATGTTTATTTTTAACATCTTATAACTTTTTTGAAGCACTGGGTATTGAATACAGTGCCAACTACATGTTAGGCAGAAAATGTAAAACATGTCTACAATGGGAATCATTTTTCATCTTGAAGATTAAAATCATAACATTAATAGGACAATGATGAATGATGGTACTAGAAATGGTTATGTTCAACAAGATAAGACAGATTCAGAAATAAAAATACCAAAGGATCTCTTTATCATCTTCTGTTTGTATGCTCGATGTCAAAGCAGAAAAGAAAGATAGAAGAAGAAAGTGAGAGGGCAATAGAAAGTAATGGAATATGTTACATTAATGAAAAATTGGAGAATGTTTGGAGGGGACAAAGGATAACACCCAGGAGTAAAGAGAATTCATAATTAAAGCAATATACAGACAGCATGGCAAGAGTGAACATTAAGTTAAATGGAGAGAAACTGAAAGCAATTCCACTAAATTCAGGGCAAGACAAAGCTGTCTACACTCTCCCTATTTCGTCAACACAGTAGTTGATGTTCTAGTAAGAGCAATAAGACAACTTAAGGAGATCAAGGGGATACAAATTGGAAAGAAATAAGCCAAACTATTGGTATGTTTGTTGGAGGAGCATGGAAGACTTTTGGAATTTTGACGAGGACAGTGGTTGGATGATTTGTGAGGGGCTTAATGTGGCATCGTAGTTGGAGCATGGAAGACAGTGATGCAGAGAGCAATGTAGATTATGATGGCCTGCCTCAAGAGGCTTCACAGCAGAAGAATATTAGTAACTGGGCTAGAGACCATTCTCATGATATTTTGGAGAGGAAGGTGGCTGCCTTCTGCCTTTGTCCAAAAATATCTATTTGAGGCTTAACTGAAGAAATTTAGATTAATGGCCCTGGTAGAGGAGATTTCAAGATAGCCTACTATTGATTGTGCTACATGGTTGTCAGTGGTCATGCTTATGCAGATCAATAATAAGCTTATCTATAATAAGAAGGAGCAAGCTATGCAAGGAAAAATATAATATATATACATATATATGAGCCTATGAACTGCAGAATGTTTAGTGCAGCTAAGAACAGTGCTCAAGGAGATAAAACCATGTAAAGAAAACAAGATGCTAAATGCAGTAATGACACTAGTTACTTCAGGAAAAGACTTCACCCAGCTAAACTTCCAAATTGTGGAAAGAAATGAAAGAAAAGCTAAAGCAGTGAAGGAAATTATTGACAACAGAATGCAAATGAAGATGTAGTTGAATGATGGGGCCATGTTGCAGCCCAGGCAAGCAGCAGAACATGGCAGCCTTGGTCACATGGTTCTGGCCTTAGAGTTCAGAATTCATGAAAGCAGGTATGAAGTCCTCTCGCACAACTAAGGATAGCTGTTGAGGCCACACTTGTTTTAGGGGTATCCCTGAACTGAGTCCCAAAGAGGACATTGAGTGGAGCCGCGAGTTTTATGCCCAGATGTTGTTGGAGAGACAAAGATGTTGGAAATGTCATCCTTGTGGTATATCTTCTGAGAAATACTGCTTACTAGGTTCAGGATGAGTCAACAAATCTGGACTGATAACAAATCTAGAAAGAGCTGGGGTACTGATAAATGCTTTCATATCATACATAGAATGTTGAATTTGGTTTGTCCTGCTGTTTTTGGCCTTATACTGGTCTTGTATTTCCTCACTACTGTCCCTTTCCTACAGTTTGAAGTTGTAATGCATACTCTGTGTCATAGTATGTTGTAACTGTATGATTATCTTCTTGCTTTATATTTCACTTGGGATTGCAGTTAAGAGAACCTCTAGAGTCTCAGAAGAATCTTTGAACTTTTAAACTATGTTAAGAGTGTTATAGGTTATGAAAACTTCTAAGGTTTGACTAATTTCATTTTGGTATACAATATTAGCTCATACTTGTGTTTGGTAGGATTGAGATTGAATATTATTTTTAAAATCATTTATTCATTTAACACACAAATACCAACCCCTTCTCTTCACAATACCCCTCATGCAGATTCTAACCTCATTCCTTCCTCCCCTTCTTCACTGTGAATCCGAAACCACCATAATGTTACAACCTCTGCCATTTCCTCCACACCAGCACTTCAAGTCAATGCAGGACTAGGGGCATCCTGTCCCACTGAGACCAGAATAGCCTTCCCAGTTAGAAAATGAAATTCACAAGCAGGCAGGCAACAGATTTAATGGCTTCCTCTGTTCCAGTTGTTGGGGAATCTTCCTGAAGACCAAGCTGCACATCTGCTACATAGGTCCAGGAGGCCTAGGTACAGCCTCTGCTTTGATTGGTGTTTCAGTCTCCAGGAGCCCTCAAGGGTTCAGATCATTTGACTCTGTTGGTCCTCTTGTAGAGTCCCTGTCCTCTTTGGGTCCTTCAAATCTTCCCCCCAAATATTCTATAAGACTCTCCCAGCTCTATCTAACATTTGAATTTGGGTTTCTGCATCTCTTTCCATTGGCTACTGGGTGGACTCTCTCAGAGGACAGTTATGCAAGACTCCTGTCTGCAAGCATAACAAAATATCATTAATATTGTCAGAGATTGGTTCTTGTACATGTGATGGGTTTCAATTTAGACCAGTCATTGTTTGAAGGTTCCCTCTGTTTCTAATTTATTTTTGTCCCTGAATAACTTGTAGATAGGACATATTTTGGGTCAAAGGTTTTGTGAGTGGGTTGCTGTCCTTATCCCTCCACTGGCCATCCTACCTGGCTACAGGATGTAGACATATCAGGATCAATATCTCTGACTCCTAGGGGTCTCAGCTAGAGTCACCCCCAAAGACACCCTGGAGCTTCCTTCAATGCCAGGTCTATGGCAACTCCAAGAGGTTACTTTCCTGCTGGTTTCCATTCTCTTCCCCCTCTCTCCCTATACCTGATTTCCATGCCTGCCTGATCCCCTTCTGATTCCATCTCCTACTCAGTTTCCTCTCTCCTTCTGACCCCAATATCCACTATATTTCCTCTTCTGAGAAGGATTCACCCTTTCTCCCTTGGTCCTTCTTGTTATTTGGCTGTTTTGGGTCTGTGGACGCATGGTTACCATGTATCGTATGACTAATATCCACCTATAAGTGAGTACTTACCATGCATATCCTTTTGGGTATGGGTTACTTCACTCGGGATGATATTTTATAGTTACATCCATTTCCCTAGAAAATGCATGAAGTAAGACACAACAGACTCTACTTTCAGCAGAGAAAAGATGAAGAAAAAAGAAATAAACTTATATGAAATTTTATTTCCAAGCGAACTGCCAAGGTAGCACTAAGTTGCCTGTACCAGGTCAAGGACAAAGGTAGCAGCCATTAAAGGTTCTTTCTCCTCTAGATGATGTGGACACTAGAAAAACAGTAGGTGGAAACATTTCAACCCAGGGGACAGAGAGGCAATCATTGGGTGGCTGGATGACTGGAGCATAGCTAGGTGAGCATATGGAAGCTGAAAAGAGGCACAGAAGTAGTTTATACTTTTTGGATAATATCCACTAATCAGTGAGCACATACCATGTAAGCCCTTTTGGGTC